AAAAAAAAAAAAAAAAAAACAGAGTAAGAGTATCTCTTAAGCTCAAAAGTTGGAAGTTGCTGTGAGCTATGATGCCACAGCATTCTACCCAGGGTGATGGAGTGAGACTCTGTCTCAAAGAAAAAAGAAAAAGAAAAGAGAAAATAAAGCCTGGCACTCATTCAAATATACTTACAATGTAGGCGCACTGACATGTAATTCCTTAAAGGAGAACTCTAAAGAACAGATATTTATTTTTCTCCAAGTATTGCTCAGGTGTCAATAATAATTTAAAATGAACTTTAAGATGCAAAATAAAGATTTTTTTCCTAGAGCATTTCTTTAACCTGCATGTTTATATTTGACAGGTTTCATAACATCACTTGGTGATTACTGAAAGCATTACGGCTTTGACTGTTGTAGAGCCAGTGGTTCACAGAAATGTTTCGAGTTGGCAAGTTGAGGTAGATAAAATGAATCCTTCAAAGCAAATCCCACTCTGTTAATTATGTACAGAATACACCTCAGTGTGGGTTTCCCCAGACATACTACTATTATGTATCCACAAAGGCCAAAGGCATAAGTTATGGGCCCTCTGAGCCCACCCACCATGAGGTCAGCACAAGCCACAGGAATGTGGCCACCCCTAAGACATCCTTCCACTGTCTATTAGCAATTACCTCAAACTCCTCTACACCGAATTTCAGCTGTACAGAGTTCAGCACTGCTACTTTATCTGCCAAGGGCTAGGTGGCCCAGGAAATTGGATGTTTATATCCTTTTGGTTAAAGATATCAAAGGCCACAAGTAGAATTATTAACTACCAAGCTAATTTCTAAATTGTCTGAATGTTCTGTGACTTCTTCATAGGAAAGTTAAACTTTATCCTTGTTCTTCATTTTTTTCTTTTAGTTTTGAATCCTTTATCATATAGCCCAGATTCGTTGCTTTGAAAGGAACAGGGTGGAGGTGAGAGGGGAACAAGTTAACATTTAAACCACATGTAAAATACTGCCAAGTGTTTAAATGTTTTCATTTATTCTTCATAACAACCATTGGTAGTTATTATCTTCATTTCACTGATTAAGAAACTACGGCTCCCAGAAGTTAAGTGATGTACGCAAAGTCACCCATAAAAGTCACAGAACTGGCCCTGCAGCTCAGGTCTCCCTGAGCCCAAAGCACTGCCCTGTCTCCACTGCTCCTGGCTGACTCCCTACTGGCAGTAACTGTGAATATCAGTGACAGGAAAAGATCAGGCCGAGAAGCAGGAAGACGACTCGGGGACAGGATCAGTCCTTGTGACTTAGTTCTTAACTAATAATGAGGCTTCATTATTTTATTGACACTTAAATGTAAGAATGCATTTCTAAATTTAACTGATAAGTTTTTCATTAATGCAAATAATTAAAAGCAGTCTTTACCTGAACTGTATTTATCCAACAGGTAAAACAATTTTGTATGTACGGTTACCCCTCTTCTCAAACAATACCTTCTAAGTTTCCCAAAGATAAGGATTACATTATATTTTATATTTCTTTTGTACATGCTATGGTTCTTTGTATATCCCTATGTACTCTGGAGAGTTTATGCATTTTTATGAATAAATATTATTTTTGTTTATAAAGGAAGAATATGAGTCAAGGAAAAGTTAGCAGATTTCCTTAATACTACATACACAACACAGACTCTGTGTGGACTGAAGGTTATACGCAGTTCTAAAGGTTTTACACTTCTCTCAAAAGGTTTCTAATTCCCGTCACTCATTCAAGCGGTACTTGAGCCTCTATCCTGTTTCTTCTTACTGTTCCAAAGTCATTCTATAAATATTCCCTGAATTAAATGCAACAATTTCAATATAATGAAATAACCTGATATTAATTATAACGCAACTTTACTTTTGACTAACACTCTTTTTTATCAGTAAAAAGTGCATTAAAATATCTGGTGGATATCAAACGTTACATCAAATACCATGTGCAAGTCCTAAGGCTCTTTGAACAATCTCCTTAAATGATGTGATGTCTTTCTCCCAACAACTGGACTGTGTGTCACACTTGTACGCCTTCGAGAGACACTGGAATGCCTGAGGAAAGAGAAAGAATAACATTAGAATAAGGAGCAGAACTCAAATTCCAAGTTCTGTTTCCTGGAAGTCATGGTGCTAATTCCAACTTGAAATGGCAGCACCTGTGCTGGACGGCACAGTCTCTTTTACTCTCTCAAAGACGGGGCAGAAATGCACGCCCACTGGCAATAGGCAATGCAAGAAATCAAATGACTATATCTAGACAGACGCTTTTCCATAATGCCCAGGTCTGGAAATCTACAAGAAGTATACAGATTTCCTCAGCATTTGTAGCCATCAGCTTAAGAAACCTGCCTATGGGGAGAAGATTCCCTATTTAAGAAATGGTGCTGGGTGAACTGGCTGGCAACCTGTAGAAGACTGAAACTGGACCCACACCTTTCACCATTAACTAAGTTAGACTCTCACT